TACAAACACAACAAACCAAAATGCAGAGTTGTGCAGCTTAGATGCAATGGCTGCATCTACAAAACAACCGGTACATTGTGATAGAGGGGGAGGAAAGATTGTAAGAAACAAAGCATGAGGGAGTTTGTTGTGAGAATGTGTCTCCTACTAATGTCAGAAGCAACACACATAAGGTTTCATCAACATGACTGCTTAAACATGAGCTGGACAATGACAAGAAAACAGACATGCGAAAGTGGATGGGAGAAAGCCCACGGGGCCTCGACCCTACATAAATAACTACAAGGAACAAGTAATCCTGAGAGTGGGAGAAATGGTCTTCCCCAGGGAGGAGAACACCAGTTGGTTATCAAATACCAAATAGCTCTGAAAACATACAACAACATTATACAGACTAAAGAGGGTATATTAGAAATATATACATGGATATACATATATGCATGTAACAACAATTAATGTAAAAGGAAGCCATGGATTTGAAAGAGAACAAGTGGGTACATGGGAGCGTACTTACCTGGGATTGAAAACTCAAGGGGGTCACTAGGCAGTGACCACAAGTAGGAATTGTGTTTGTAAGAGCCAAAGCATCTGTAGGTCCTCCTGTGCCCAGGGCTCAGAGGGGAGATGAGGAATGTGTTGTGGTCCTGCTGTGAACAGTTCTGGGGAAAGGAAGCATTTCCATCTCTGCAGAGGATGAAGATATTAAAGGAACCATGTATGTGGCAGTGGAGAGTTGCATTGATTTCTGAGGAGCCCTGAGATCCTGAATCAACAGTAAGAGATGGCTTCTCCTTATAAACACCTGGAAGAAAAAGAACCTGATGTTAGTTGCTTGTGGTGGCACATTCCTTTCATCTGAACACTTCATAGGCAGAGGCAGGTATATTGTTGTGAGTTTAAATTAACCTGCTCTATATCGAGTTTTCACAGCCAGACTGAGTTAAATGGTGAGACCCTGTCTCAAAAAAAAAATTACAAAAAGAACCTTGCCTTAGTTAGGATTTCTGTTGATGCGATGAAAAAACATGACCAAAAGCAAGTTGGGGAGGAAAGGGCTTATTTGGCTTACACTTCAGCATTACTGTTCACCACTGATAGAAGTCGGGACAGGAACACAAGCAGGGCAGGATGCTAGAGGCAGGAGCTGATGCAGAGGCCATGGACAGATGCTGCTAACTGACTTGCGTCCTCTGGCTTGATCAGCCTGCTTTCTTATAGAACCCAACATCAGCCCGTAATGGCACAACCCATCATGAGCTGGGCCCTACCCCATTGATCACTACTTGAGAAAATGCCTTGCAGCTGTATCTCATGAAGGCATTTCTTCCACTGAGTCTCCTTCCGCTCTGATGACTCTAGCTTGTAACAAATGGACACAAGTTGACCCTAAACTATCCAGTATAACTCTGTTATTTAAAACATGATGAAAATAAGCCTACATTTCACAGACTGACCAGAGAGAAGAAAAGATGAAGACGAATAAAAACATCCATTGCCAATCTAGAGGGATCACAAAACGTTTGTATCATTTTCCATGGACCAGGACCATAGAGAGTGTCTGTGTATATACAGAAGGCTGCTGTCAATTCCCATGAACTCCATCCTTTAGGAGATATAAGTACTGTTCTGTAAGGAACCTAGAACAAGGTCAGCGCAGAGGGAGGGTCACAAATCAAAATGGAGGGTCTGGGGATGAATCTTGGTCAAGTTCTTGCCTAATATACACAATGCCCAGGGGTCTATAATCATCACCATATGAATGGTGTCATTGTCCAGGTCAATCATGACAGTACTAGAAGACTAGAAGCAGAGGGGCCATAAGTACAAGATTTGTTTGGATACACAGCAAGGTCAAGACCAGACTGGGACACTTGAGAACCTGTCTCCAAAACTGCCAAGAAAAATGGAAATTAAAAAGGAAAGGATGAAATGAGAGAAGAGAAAGAGAGTGATGGGGGAGGGCAGGGGAGGTGAAGAGAGAAGGGGAGGAGGGTATAAAAGAGATGAGAGAAGAGGGGAGAGATCCATATATGGGAGCAGAGACACAGGGCAGGACCTGTGATGGGGCAAATGTGGTTCAGTGAGGTAGGCATCAGAGACTGAGTCTGAAGGACAGTGTGCTTGGGCAGTTACTCACCTGTCACCACCAGCTCCACTTTGTCACTAATTTGTAGCAATTCGCCTCCCTTGGAGTATTCACAGTAGTAAATCCCAGCATCGCCTTGTGTCATATTCTGCAGACTGAATTCAAACACCTCCTGGGCTCCCTGTGGGATGCAATCAAACCACTTTCCATCCTGCACATAATGGGTTAGACGCACTCTGGTCACTCCTGGAGGAGTCCTGCAGAAGATGGTCACAGCATTGCCTGTGGAAATCACAGCTCCTGGAACTGCCCAGATGGAAGGCTGGGGTGGTGGCCCTGGAGAGACACAGGAAAAGAGAGCTAGTCATCTGATGTCAGGAGGGCCACGTTCCCAAGGAGCTATAGAGTAGCTCCCACAACAATTACTAACCAAGAAAATGCCCCACAGACATGCCCACAGGCCAATATGGTGAGGGCAATTCTTCAGCTGATGTTTCTTCTTCCCAGAGGACTCTAGTTTGTGCCATGTTGAAAGAAAACTAACCAGCACACCTCCAGAGAGAAGTCTCACATTTTCAGAATTGATCTTCAGACATAGTTCTGACATAGTGACTGTGTGTGTGTGTGTGTGTGTGTGTCTGTGTGTCTGTGTGTCTGTATGCATGTGCATGTTTGTATTTGTATTAGTTGAAACTAAGAAGGGCATCATGAGAAAAAGAAAACTCAGGATCCGTAGGAAATTGAAAGTGTAATGAGATTACGTAACAGGAAAGCAGCAATGAGGACTATCCTGGGAGAGAAAAAACAGCAATAATAATAACACATGTGGCTGTGAACAGAGATCTGAGCGCTGAGATTAAAAAAGTGTGTACGCCATCACACTTGGCCTGAAATTTTAATTTAAAAGCTAATTGAGACAGTCAGTCATGGCACATGACTTTAATGCCAGCACTTGAGAGGCAAAGGCAGAGGCAGGTAGATCTCTGTGAGTTTGAGACCAGCCTGGGCTACAGAGTGAGTTCCAGGACAGCCATGGTTACACAGAGAAACCCTGTCTCAAAAAACCAAAACAAAAACCACATGATTTAAAAGAAAGAAGACAAAAGGCTGGTGAGATGGCTCAGTAGATGAGCATACTTGCTTATACTTGTAGCTTGAGGATCTGAGTTCAAATCTCC